GGAGCTATAACACAAAAAAAACGGGAGTGTAGTCTCATCATAANGCCTAAACATTTAAAGTATCAGCCCATAACGTAAAAAAATGACGTCGTCGTTTGTAACCTCGCTTTTGATTGGCTGATGCAGCGGCGTAATAATTTCTTAGAGAAAAGAGTCGTTCAATAAAAGTGGATTTCCACAGGGATTGTGCATAGTAGATTAAATTATAAGGATTTACTTGAATATATTTTTTGTGTTATGGAGCTATAACACAAAAAAACGGGAGTGTAGTCTCATCATAAACCGCTTCGCAGTTTATTTAGAGTACGCTCCATTTTTCTGTGTTATATCATCTCCATAACATAAAAAATAAATTCAAGTTAATCCTTAAATAATATTCAGGTATATGTAAAAGGTATCTAAATTATTTCCACGCGTGCCGTACTTTGCTGACGTATCATATCTATAATATATATGTTAGGCATGTATATTTAAGATGATATAAATGTTTAAGATAATTAGATTATTTCCACGCGTGCCGTATATAGCTAACGTATCATATCTATAATATCTATGTTAAGCATGTATTTGTATATTTTAGATGATATAAATGTTTAAGATAATTAGATTATTTCCAAGCGAAATTATTCGAAACAAGAAATGAATTATTGATATTGACAAGGAAAAAGTCACAGCTCTAAAATTGAAAGAGCTACCTCCCATTAACTCCATTTTATAGTTCAATATAGGTTCGTAGCGGTTGGGACGATACACAATTTTAAGGGCGATATAGCTTTTGGGGGAAATGGATTTGGGGTTAAAAGAAATTTTGGGGCGATATGGTTGTCTAACTTGGGGCGAACTGAACTGAAAATTGGAGTGATGTGATTTTTTGGGGGCGAACTGGTTTGGGGGAGTAACGGTTTTGGGACGAAACGTCTGACACCTTTTCTGTAAAATTTCAGACGTTTCGCCCCAAAATCGTTACGCCCCAAACCAGTTCGCCCCAATTTTTTTTCACATCGACCCAATTTTAAGTTCAGTTCGCCCAAAATTTGATTCATCTCACGTCAACCAGTTCGCCACCAAAAAAGCATAACGCCCCAAATAGTTTGCCCTAATAAAAAGGAAC